ACACACACACACACACACACACACACACACACACACACACACACACACACACACCTCCTCTCCTGCATGCTTTAAATATTATCTTGTCCCCCCCAACTTTCTCACACGTGCCTAATCTGCCTCTTCTTTATTTCCTCTCTCCTCAGGTCATTATCATCTTGACAGCTCCGGCCTTTTCTTTCTGTTTTGATTTGTTTCTCTTGTGTGAATAACCCCCCCATCCCACCCCGCTGCCCCCCCATCAAAGAACGGAGAGCTCCGGTGACACTGCTAGTGTCCAACTGCTAGTGCCGATTAGCTCCAGCTAATAAAATCTCCAACTCCTGTTCTGTGTTTTCTGAGCTGAAGGGACAAAGAACCAGGCTGCAGTYTGAACCTGAAACATTACAAACGTTACAACTGATGGGTGTAAATTTGGTATTTAGCGAGGAGACGCACACTTTTCTCTCTCTCTCACACACACACATAAATACACAGTTTGTAGTATGTGTGTAGTTCATGTGCTCTTCAGATCAGTGTTTCTCATCTAGAACTTTTCAAGAGAAAAAAAAAAGAAAAAAGAAAGAAAGCCATCGTAGAATGAGCGTTTCAACCAGGACCAAAGCTCCACGCCCGTGTACAGACTATCAAGAAGAAAAATATTTACTTTAGTGTACAGTATCTGCCATACTGTAGAAAAAAAAAAAACACCACGTAACAGGATCAGACCTCCACGGTGGATTCTCCAGGCCAATTTGGACGCCTTCTCCGAGGTCCTCTGGTTTCAGCGTTAACGTGGCGAGGCGTCCGTTGGTCGTTATTGATGTCAGAGGAGTGAAAAAACAAAGACAGACTCATCGGTCTCAGCATGTTACCTTGTCTCTTTCCATCACCCCCACTTTTTTTTTGTCCTACGGGTACTCTTTTTGATATATTTATAAATACATATTATTTTACTCTGCCATTTCTGTGACCTGCGTCCATCAGGGAGGGAGTTTCTTCATGTTTACAGTCCACCGAGGAAGAGGAGAGGTGAGCGTCTGATGAACTTGGACGATGAGATCATTCTCGCCTTTCAGACGCTTCCTGCTGCAGGACTGATCAGGTTTTGTGAGACCTGGTGTTTGGGGTCTGTTCAGGAGGACATCACCACTCTTTTATTTTTCTATCATCCCAGGAAAATGTTTTCTTTCCTCGACAAACAAACAAGAAAAAGTTGCCACGCTTCAACTGAAACCATTTTTTTGTCTAGTTTGTCCCTGAAAGGACTCCAGAAGGACACACACGTCCGTGTTGCTTTTATTAGTGCGTGTTTCTGTGTTTGTGGGCGTTTGTTTTGTACTTTGTGTGTGTGAGACCTTGTGTGTGTCAGATATCTGTACCTATTATTTCTGTCTTCACTCCCCTAAAATCCAGGCAACAAACTAAAAAGAAAAAAAAAAGCTTGTCTTGGAGCCAGATCTTGTATTTTGTCTCGTGTCTTTAAAACGAGCCATTTAATTTGTGTGTCTGTGTCTGTGTGTGTGTGTGTCAGAGAGAATGTGTGTCTGTACTATTTGTGCCTCATTGCACTCAGTGGGAAACTCTGTCTTTCATAGACATTAGTTTTTATCGTCTCTGTTGTCTGAAATCAGCTCCTCTCCTCTCCAACCCTTTGCCTGATGTAACCGTGTTGATCGTGTTCTTCTTCTGCTAACSTGTGCGCCGTTTGTCTGAGGGTCCAATCAAACGGGTCGAAAAATCAGTGTTTTGCTTATATTTATTAGGAGAAACCCCATCTGGGAGGGGAAACAAAGTTAGAAGAGAGTGAAGATAAAAACAGTGTTTTTACAGAAAATGACAGAATTAGATCCCCCTGAAAGAAAGCCAGCAGGGAGAAAMCGAGCTTCTGAGATTTCTGCACTTCCTGTGTAAATCGATACAGACTTACAAAGCCATGCCTGTCACCGCTAATATGACTGTAACCTCAGCAAATTGTACTACACCTCACTACAGCTACAGCTCCTGTTTCCTGTCACACACTAACAGGAGTGTTTCTGGATCTGAGGAAGCAACGTGGAAAGGGGCGGGGCTTCGATCGGMTTGTACCGGTCAATCTTTGATTTGGTCCAGAGGTCCCATAATTCTCCATCATCTCCAGCTGCTGCTCCCCCTCACCTCTGTCTGATCACCGTCTCCGTCCCCACCCCTTCCCCTTCCATTTCCCGCTCTCTTTCCCGTCTCCTCCGGCCCACCTCCCTCCATCTTGTCGCTCGTTCTCGCCCCTTCCGTCGTCTGGCTGTCAGCTCTTGTTCGTGCAGTCCTGAGTGGTCATGGGGAATCATGTTTGCATGCTTATATTAACATGAATGATGTCAACTTGAAAATTATATAAGTGATGCTTTGAGCAAAGCCTGACGATGAACTTGATACTAATACTACTAATGATGACGAAGTGGAGACCTGGCAGTTCTTTAGACTCTGTTGTCAAAAAAAGAAGGAAAAAAAAAAACAATGATGAGTTAACATTGTTTATGCTGTGTTTATCTCGCTCAAATTGGTATCCTTTTTGATTTTTCTTTGTTTTTTTATATGTAATTTATTCAAGAAGTTTACTTTTTTATGAGTTCGCGATGATTGAGTGAGAGTTTCAGTCGGGTCGGATATTTCAGGTCACAGGGTGTCGGTGGATGTGGAAGGAGTCATGATGGAAATAAAGGATATGTATCATCCAACTCTTGTGTTTCTGACTTCTTTTAACTCCAGGGCGTCTGCGGGTCCTTAAAAACTCTTAAATTCATGTAAATTTGTTAAGTTGGTTATAAATACGTCACTCAAAAGATTTAAAGGGATCCATGATTAGTTGTAACATTAGACTTTATTTAATAAACATATATTTTAACTGTAAAATAAAGACTAAAAAAACTGTAGGATGTTCAGTTTTTATAATTTTTAAACTAAGTTTAAAAATATATTACATGGACGGGGCCATTTTATTTACACACAAAGCATTCTGGGTAAATGATGACGTGGATAGGTC